CTCTAATCTTATCTAATAATTTTTTAAAAATATATTATGGCGCAATTAGATTACATTTAGGTCTGTCATAATATCAAAAATGATCGTCTTTTGTTTTACCAAGTCATTTTTTTCTAATAATCTTTGCGTTCTTTTGATACAAGTATTGTTTGATATATATGTAGAAGTACTACTACTTTTTGGCAATAATAGAGTTGAAATAGCACTGTCAATCAAATTTCTAAACCTTTTTGGCATATTTTCTTTTAGCAACTTATATTTTAAAAATGTAAAAAAACACTTACTCTCAAAATGCTTGAAGCAGATAACAGCTGCAATAAAGATATTTTTACTTTAATAAAATTTTGAAATGTCAAATTATTACCTACCAAATTTCATATTAATTTTGTCTTTTCGACGACAAGCATTGTCCCACTGCATTGCCAGATTTTTGTCGTTAGAAAAGCTATAAAACTTTAAATTAGCCTCTTCTTTCATTTTATTATAGCTTTTGCAGCCATAAATTACACAATTCGGCATTACAAAAACACTAACTTCAGTCAAACTTCTTAGACTTAGACTATTTAAAATAAAATAAAAACAAAACAATATAAATTCACTAAAATATTGAATTTTAAATTAAAGAAGATATTAAAATATAAATAAATAAACAAAAAATTATTCGGTTTACAAAAGTCTGTGGCAACAAAAACTACGTTTAGATGCCAATTCTCAAAAAAAAACACAATATACATTTACTTAACTTGTAACAGAAACACATGCAAATAAATGGCATAATGTGAATTTCAACCCGCTGGCGAGCACACCATCCTGTCATTTTTATAAAGAACTAAATAGTAGTCTCACCTTATGGAAGTTTCATTGGAGCGAAATGGATACTACCAATAGATGGCGCTAGTGAATATGGATAAGTCGATATTCGTTTGCAGTGGGCGGAGTTGAGGGTCCAGCAGAAATTTTTAAGAATGACTGAGACCGATCGATAAATTTCTATTTTTAGCTCTTGGATGAAATTTTATACACTCGTGATTGAATGTTTGGACTATTTTCTATCTAATGTTTGTTATTGTGCGTTAGTGCATATATCTATGGTTAGTGCGTATACGGGTAGTAGGTATTGTGAATGAGTTGTGTTTATGTTTTATTACTGAATTATTTTACTGTTAATAAAAGACGAGTTCCCAAAAAAAATTGTGTAGGTATTTATAACTGTTTTGAAATTAATAAAATAGAAAATATGCTTTTGTTTTTCGTTTCCTTTACAGGTTTTATCCGAATTAATTTAAAATAAATTATATAATATTAATAATAGCAATAATAATACGGCTATGGGGGATAGGGTCGAAATATTGAAACTAAACTTGGTATATGGATGTATTATCCCATAAAAATATAAAATCGCTTTAAAAAATTCACCCCTCCACACCCCTATCTGATATGGTGAGGGTGGCATTCCCAAAAAATTAAGTTAGAACTTTTTAAATAAAACAGTTGAAGTCTACGATTTTTTATACATAAAAACACAAAATTCCAATTTTTTTGAAAAAAATTTCCAATTTTTTTTGATCTTAGAAAAAATTTCGACTTTAATCTTCATAGTTCGGATGTGGGGACTGGCATTTAAAAATAGTTACAAATACATAAAAATCTTATTTTTGGCATATTTACAATAGAAATGATTTGCAACATTTTTGTATAAATATCTTACCACCACCATCTTCTAGAGGGAGATGGAGGGTGTGGCATCCCCAAAAAATCAAATTAGAACTTAAAAAAAAAACAGTTAACATCTACAATTTTTTATACATATAAACCAAAATTTCAATTTTTAAATCAAATTATTAAATTAAATTATTTTTTTAATTTCTTTATTATATTTAATATTATTTCTACTTTTTCTAATAATCTAATAATCAATTTAAGATATCTACTTTGATTGAGCCAAAATATTTACTAGGGGAAGTTTTTAATACTATACAAACATACTGTGTGTCCAAAAAAAATATATGAATTTGGCTAAATATTAACCTTTATTTCTAAAAACAGGAGAACAATGTTACTTGAAAAATGTATCTAGAATTAATATTATCCACCATCAAATCCTGGACCTGGACACAATTTTTTTTTAGCAATACGGGAGAAGCGGAAGTGACATTTTTACAAATGAAATTAATTTCAACAAATTTATTTGAGATCATGTACAAGATTATTCACTATTAAAGACACCTTTTATAACCACTATTGCATATTCAAAAAAAGCTTTAAATAAACTTTTTTTAAATATACCATAAAAACATGTATTCAGATTTCACGGAATACAACACAAATAAACTTTTTTAAATGGGATACCCTCTATGTTATTAAATTTTTGGGATATTTTTTTTCTAATTTCACAAATGTATATTATTAATAACCCTATCTTATACCGTCTGTTCTCGAGTAATTTAACGTTGATAATGTAAACATGAAAAAGTTAACATTATTAAAGTAAAAGCTATGAAAATCACAACTATTATGTTTGATAATAAAATAATCCAAATACCTAGGTAGTTTACAGTGAGAAAGAAAAAGTGTAAATATTTATAAGATATTCGACATAGATTATCTATGATATTCGACGTTTAATTAATCAGGAAATAATAAAGATCATTTCGAAAATTGAATAAAATATGCTATCATTATTAAAAAATATTCATGTTAAATCCTGTGAAATATGCACACCACTGATATGGTCATTTGATGACATTTTTACAAAATTCGGTCAATGTAAACATTATACAATAATAATTATAGCATAAAGGGAGGGTAATTTATAATGAATAACCCTGTTAGGTACCATAAATTTTTAGTAAAAAAATTTTAATTCGCACTTTTTTACGTAGATTAAAGAAAAATGTAATTTTGTGCGTTTTCTTGGTGCAGACATTTTGCGACACACTGTATATTCAAATCCAAAATGATGTATTTTCTTTTAACACATACCTAATACAAATTTATTAGCAAAATTTAAATACTTGTTTTTTTCGGTATATTTCTCCTTTAGACATACACATTTTTAGTTTCATTGTCAAAAGATTTAAATAAAATTACCTGACCTTATAATATTCTATTATAATTTGATTATTAACGTAAAATTAATGTTTTGAAATTAATTTAAGTTTTACCAATTTAGAAAATAAAATTAAATAATAAAAACAAAGTATCCACTCGGGGGTTTGAACTCGGAACCCTTCGATTCGTAGACAAGTACTCTAAATTTTCGTTATGAAGGCTTATGAAAAAGTTTTACTTTTTAACGCTGATAATCAGACTGCTTTTAGTTTATTTCTAAATATAGACGAATATCTTGTGGAATGCTATTATTTATTGATTCTTTACAAGAATCACTAATTTTTATTTATATTTAATCTAAATAATTAAAAAAATATATACTGACAATTAATTTTACGGAATTGTCACTTATAAAGTTCTAACATCTGACGTAGAGGGCGTATCTAACCAGTAAATAAAATTGTTAGTTCAATGATTGTACCAATAGATGGCGGGCGCGATTGCCTCCAATAACTTTTACATGGCGATTATCCTACTATAGTTCTTTATACAATGATCCTATACTCACTACGGTTGTTCTATTGTTTTTTTTTAGACAAATTATCCTGTTCATTCATCAAATAACTAGAAACCCACAAAATATATTTTTATTTTTGATATAAATATACATTGTATGTTTCTTCTGAAGTTCAACATGCCCTGGTTTTCTTCTATAAAATTATTGGTAACTACTTTTTACTAAAAAAACTTTCTGTAGCAAACCCAAAATGTTTAAAATAAACCATTTACACAATAATATTTGTCTTTATAATTTAAATAAAAAGCAATTCAGTTGAAATTTGATGGAAATCATTATTGTTCTAGGTTACTTGAAAATTTTTTGTGATTTTTTAATATTAATTTCTCAATAAGTTCCACGGTTTACTATATATATTTTATTGTATAAAACAAAATCTAAATATTTCAAAAACCTTATTTTTAGTTTTTTTCTACTCCATCTAATCAATAAATAATAGTATAATTCGAGAATTGTTGTTGAGGACTTACTTTCTCGTGAGGCACTGTACAAATACTCACATTTAAAAAAAAAATTCTCAAAAATTTGCAAGGTAAGGTATAGTTAAAAGTTCAGTATTAGATAAATAAGGACTTCAACTATTAGAAAAAAATTAATTTTAGTCATAATCTAATAACTTTTTTTTTAACATTTGAGGCGAGAGAGAGGTGTGGCGAAAGGACCTCCTTAAGCCGAAAGTGCTCAGCCTAATATTTTAATAAAAATTTTCAATTTTTTACACACTTATGCACTTATTCCACTTATATTTTACTAGTAGTGTGTACACCACTCTCGGTCTACTTATTTTTGAAAATTACATTATACTTAGTGAGGCATACAAGAGCTGAGGTTATGATACATGTAGTCTTCTCTACTTCATATTCTTACCAAACAAACTTCATAAAAATTTAATTGGTTCTATTTTAATAAATGCACGTTCTTTTTAGCTTTATTATATTTGTGCAATAGCTTCATATGAATTTACATTAGTCTCTAGAGCAGTGTTTCTCAAACTCTTTTGGCGACGGAACCTTTTTGAAAAGCGAAATATTTGACGGAGCCCTAAACACATTTCTAAAAAAAAAGTCCTCAAGCCAGGTCCCTTCATTTTTGTGGCGATAGTACTACAGCTTCTTTTTTTATTATGACTATTATTTTTTTCGCGGAGCCCTCACAAAGGCTTTGCGGAGCCTCAGAGCTCCGCAGAGCACACTTTGATTGTAACTGATCTAAGGTAATATATGGATATGACATCAGAAATATTAGAGGACCTCACTGAAAAAGGGTCCATGACAGATGTCCAAGAGATGGAGAGAGATGAAGACTGTAATTTTTAGCAGCCTCGTGATCAATTATTGGTTAATACATTAATATAGACTATTATTTTTTTTAGAACTGTGGTGCAGGTCCAGATTGCGGTTCAAGTTTTAACCCAATTGATTTAACTGAAGAAGATAAACAACTAATCTTAGATGTGCACAATGAATTACGAAACAAAGTCGCAACTGGTCAAGAAACCATTGGAAATCAACCTCCCGCCTCAAATATGAATGCATTAGTAAGTTTTAATGAACCAAAAAATAAAAATTAATTTATTTAGAAGAAAAAATTCGTAGAAAACGATATTGCCATCAAAGCTTACTTTACAAATTTTTTGTTATTTATTTTTAATGCTCTATGTGATATGGTTCTAATAATTCCATTTTGTATTAATATTTACAGAGCTACAATGAAGAAATAGCCACTTTTGCGCAATGTCACTCCAATGAATGCCAATTTAAACACGATAAATGTAGACGAACAGGTAAGATAAACTTTACATTGTCTTACAGACGAACAGGAATAGCAAAAATCCCGACATGCGTCAATGAGAAACACGACATAAAGAACCGATTCATGCCATCTTGTCAAATTTATTAGCACAGCTTATACAATACAGCTAAAACACTCTCTTGGCGGCAACGGTTTGCGTCGATTTCGTCGCGCATCGCTTAAGCTCCGCCTTCGAAGGGAAAAGACGGTTTTGGCGTTCAGAAGCGTACTTAGGTAAGGTTTTGAGTCGTGCGTATAATTTCGTTGATTGTATAATTTCGTGGAGCCTATAATTTCGTTGATTTTGTTTGAGTTAAAGGTACTGTTATTATTTTGGTGACTCTTTAGCTGTGAGTAGAATGAGTTTGTGCAGTCAAAAGCTGTTTTAATAAGGGTTATACCTGCAAGAAAATATTCTTTAGTTTTCCCAAGGACCCAAACCGATAAGTACTACATTATAAGAAATTTTCATTGTTAAAAATTTAATTTATACAGGGTGTCTCATTAGTGCGTTATTGTTCATTATTTTGTTGTAGACACGCAAGAAATTTTTAAATAAAAGTTATATGGATTTGAAAAATACCTACATATTTTAAAAATATCTTTGGATATACAGGGTGTCACGTTTTTGCCTGGAAAATTAAAATGTATGTTTTTTAAATGGAACACCTTGTATTTTATTTTATGATGAAATTATTAACACCCTAAATTATTGTAAAGACGAATTGCTACAGAAAAATTTTATCAGGTATGTGTGTGGTTACCTTTTAATAAAAGCCTTGCGGATCCGTTCCTGCGATACCTGTCTTAAATATAACAAAGATCACGTTGAATTAGACGATTTTTCTTTTTATTGCTTTTAAAAGGCATATGATAACGCCAATTCAGATACATTTGGAAATCTGCAACTGTCAAATGATGAATTTGTAGAACTTATATTCAATATTGAAAAGATATTTTAAAATAATTTTGAAGAATTGGCTACAAAAAATAACATTTTGGCGAATTAATTTTTTTTTGCAGTGTTCTCACTACCTAGAATGGATATGAAATATATTCGTTCAATTGAAGGCAATAGCATACTTTTTCGTTTTGTAATCTGTGCATGGATATTAGCCAATCTACGCACATACTACAAAACGAAAAATTATGTTATTGCGTTCAACTACGAATATATTTCATATCCATTTTAGGTAGTGAGAACACTTTAACAAAATTAAATCTACAAATCACAGTTCATATTTTGGTCACCCAACTCCTATTATTTAAACATTTTTAAATAAGTGACAATTCTGTTAAACTAATTGTCAATATATATTTTAGTTATTGATATTAAATATACATTAAAATTTTTGTGTAGACTCGATAAATAATAGCATTTTTGTTTTTATTATGTCCACATTTAAAAAAAAATAAATTTTAATCAAACTACATGATACTAATTTAATTACGGGTATTAAAACTAAAGTCCTGAAAGTTTCGGTAAAGATGAGGACAGAACATCTGCCTTCCATGCGAAAAGCCCGGGATTGAATCTAGGCCGAGGACTAATTAATTTTTCATGTTTATTTTATTTTATAAATTAGTTAACTTCGTAAATTATTTTAAAATTAGTTATTTTGTCTAAATAAGCTAAAATAATTTTTTAAATTTGTAGATTTTCGTTAGTGGGTCGTAGAAAAAATATACTGACCATATCGAGTGGATTGTTCATATCACAATCAGACGATTGAGTACTCCTGCCTACGACGTCGTGCTCAAACTTCGTCTTTGTGTGATATGGCTATCATATCCACCCTTGTTGAACAAACTACAATTTATTTGTTTTCTTGGTTTAAGTTTTACATCAGAAATAAGAACTAAATTAATTTACTTTTCAAGTTTTCTTGTAAAAATCGATATTACTTTCTCCAAGTACAAATTTAGTACCTACCTAAAATAAGTACTAATTATGTAATATCGTGTAATATTGTAATTCAAATTTCACATTACTATAAAGTTTCAAAATTCCCTACTTCGGTATGGTCAGATAAAAATTGAATATATTATATTAATAAAAACTGTCAAAGTATTACTTCTACAAATCTGTATTTCAATTAATAAGAATACATCTAAATATAACCAATATTGTTAAAATAAAAGCACAAATTCTTTATAATTCCAAAATACCATAGAGTTCCCAGACCTCAGTCGAAGCATTCGTTTATCTATTTGCGCGAAGAGTAACACTTGCCAGAGACACGGGGTACCACTTGATTTGCATCCACGAGCGTGACACATTTCTTTAACAATTGAAGTCCTTGGTGTAAAAAGGATCCAAGCCACAATTTGTCGTGAAGTGACTGTTTTAGCTCAAAACATTTGTTAACGAGGATTTTACTAGCCACATACAAATTATTTTACCTCTAATCCGAAAGATGTGCTATATTTCGTAAAATAATTTTTTTAATTATATTTGACAGATTTAAAACAAATTAAAAATTTAATTTCCCAAAACTTACTTAACATGACATGTAACCAACCTTATTACGTCAAGGTTTTCAATTTTTTCAATAATAAAAAAATTGCTTAATCCGGGCCCGACTTTTCCCTTTAATCTAACAGAGATAGCACCATTCCGTCTTGCTTGGTTCTCGACCGCCAGATCAAAGACGCCGACACGGAGTTGTGGAGCTGTATTGTATAAGCTGTGTTATTAGTATAGGAAAAGAGTGAATACGGGTTATATGCGAAGAAGTATGACAAAAACAATGGATACTAAGAGAATCGGAAAATAATATATTAATACCTATATACAAGAAGAGAAGACAAACTGAGTTCGACAACCACAGGCTATATATTTGTCGCAAACTAGCCCCAAAGTATATACAGCAATCCTAAGGTGCTCTATTCAAAGAAGTTCACATGATACTTACAGAGCTGAGCTGCAAGAAAGAATGGAGCCAAGAATCCATCGCGCTTGCAACCGAAAGACGTGCTATTCAGTGGTATACGGACGGTTCCAAAACCATAGAAGAAACTGGAATAGGAGTGTACGGGCCGAGAACCAAGCACTCCGAAAGCTTGGGATAATACCCAAGCATCTTCCAGGCGAAAATTCACGCCATCGAGAAGTGTATCCAGTTTAACATCGAGAGAAACTATCATAGACAAGAGATTATCATCATGTCCGATGGTCAAGCAGCCATCAAAGCGCTGAGCTCTTACGTAATCAGCTCAAAAATGGTCTGGAGATGCCTAGAACAATTGAATGAGCTAGGCGAGAAAAATAGAGTTACTATCACTTGGGTCCCGGGACATAACGGGGTACAGGGTAACGAGATTGCAGATAGTCTTGCAAGGAAAGGGACTCAAACACCCTTTGTAGGACCTGAGCCGTTCTGCGGTATCAGCAGTAACATAATATTAGGATAGATTAAAAAAGAATTGGGCAGTAGAAGAACCGATAATTGGAATAATCTCTTGGGGCAGAGAGAAGCCAAGATACTTCTGGGTGAATATAACCAGAAAAGATCGGAAGCCTGCATCTGCCTGAGCAAGAACAGGCTACGTATTGTAACAGGGATCCTTACCGGGCATTGCCGACTAAAAGGACACCTAAGTAAACTGAGAGTAGTAGAGGATAGTGAGAGCAGATTCTGTGAGGAGGAGGACAAAACCTCCATTCACATCCTAACTGAATGTGTAGCACTCCAGAATCCAAGGGCACTATATCTAGGAGGATATCAAATAGAAGAGGGAGATTTACCTAACTTGAAGCCACTTCAAATCCTACACTTCCTTAAGGAAATAGGATTGGAAGGGTCGTTATAGACATTGAGACATTTCCTTAGTGCATTGGCGATAGAAGGGGGCACAATAGATCTTTTAGGTCGCAGTGTATTAACACTTCATTTTCAACATAACATACTTATTAACACCGTTTATTAAACATTAAAGAAGAACCGTTTTAAATTTAACAGTGAAGTTTTAAAGATGTTGAGTATTAAATTAAATGCATAGGTAGTAAATGTTAATTTGCCCAGAAAACCGTTTACTTGGTAACTAAACTAAATAATATGGCAAGAGCAGTTAATGCATACTGCACGGCATAACACCCTCGAGTTTATTCATATGTGCTGTTTAGTGTAAGAAGAATTGACGCAATCAATCATGGTCAGCGAACTGGCTTGAATGAGATGTATAATAATCTAGCGAGAAATTCAATTTTATGTATTCTTTCCCTCGAAAGAACGGCACCATCTATTTATGCATTTTATTCCACCTGTGGTCTTTTAAATTTTCTAGACGCTTGGTTATGTTTATTATTTAGCGATGTTTTGAATTATTGTTTTATTGCATTATGGGTGCAAGAGAGAGATAAAGAAAGGCATCACGTAACCAACATGCTTATATTGAACTGGTTGTTCTCGAAGCTTCTAATTCAAATTTATTTTTTGTATTTGAATTATGAATTAAATTATTATTAGTGGTTGAATGGATTAATTATTATTAAAGAATAGTTTGGCACTCAGGGCTAGGGTTGTCTGATGTGTTAATGAAATATGTTGGATGTACTTCCAACAGAAAAAGAAGAATTATTTCTGACTTTTATAGACCTAAAAGTAGTATTGATACTGGAAATAATCAAAATATGGAGAAGCCTGAAGGAAATGGAAGAGCTCAACACATCCTTGAAGTGGTAGCTGGATTGGGAATGTTCTTTGGAGATACATCATTTCTGTAGTGAAGCAGTGGGTGTTTAGCTTCGTTGGCTGTGGGATTTTACTTTAGTTTTCTGGTACTTGATATTTTTCTTATGAACTGAAGTTGTAGGTGTCTCAACTGTCACAAAGCTGTCGTTCTGGACCACTTTCGGGGCAAATCTAGGAAGGAGTTTGTTTCGTTTAAGGGTTCTCCTTGAGTAGATTTTGAAATTTGTTTTGTAAGTAATAGGTGTGTGTCTTGTTTCGTTTATTTTATCTATGTTGGCTTTCTTGTTGTCGTATATATGTTCATTAATTTCTTTGGTTTTCTATCGGTGTTGTTCTACGTATTTGTTTAATAATATTTTGTTGATATCCATGTCGAAAGAGTCTCTAGTGTCTAAATGTCAATTTAATACTTCGATGGGTTTCAAATTCGTTGTCGAATGTACAGAATTATTGTAACCCAGGATAACGTATAGCATTTGCTCTTTGATGGGAATGGCCGTTTGAGTACTCCTCAATATTCTTAAGTGTTCTACTATTGTGGAATGAAATCGTTCAATGATTGCGTTGGACTGAGGGTTGTTAGGTGTTGTGTAGTGGATTGAAATTTTATGAGTATCTACGAAATCTTGCATAACGCTGTTTTTGAACTCTGTACCACTATCAGCAACAATCATCTTTGGCAATCCATGATGTATGACTAAGATTAAAAGTGTACCTACTATGTTGACTGCAGTTGCTCCTTCTAGAGGATAGGCTTGACCGTATTTTGAAAATGCATCTACAATTGTTAGGAATTTCTGTCCACTTGCTTGAAAGATGTCGATGTGAACTATCTCTACAGGTTTTTTTATAGGAGTTGGTGTGAACATGAACTTCGATTTCGGCGAAGTTATGTCATATTTATTTTCTTGACATATATCACAGAAATTGATGATATCTTCTATGTCTTTCTTCAGATTTGACCAAAAATATCGTTTTCTAATTTCTAGTTCGGTCTCGTTCAGACCTCTAAGATGGTAATTTTCTATAATGCCTTTTTGTCTTTCTGATTGTTCACGTCTTCTTATAGTTTGTTACATTTCACTATATCATAGGAGTTGTGTTTGAACATCTTCCTGATAGTTTCACTTATATAGATGTATAATTCATTGCTTTCGAATAGGCATGCATATTTTCTTTTTGGCTGTAGAAATTCTTTAAAAAATTTGACTATATCGGCTTGAAGATCGTTCTTTCCCAGTTGAACGTGGACTCGTAGTTTGTTCGCAAAAATTTGTGATATTGCTGGAGGTCTTGCTTCATAATTCACTGTTTTGAAGATAGTTTGCAAATTGTAGTAATTTAGACGTTTTTCTGAAATTAGTATCCCTAACATGGGATTTTTTATTGCGGTATGTCTTGTGTTATCATCGTCTTCTTCGGAGCCTATGTTTTGTTATTCGGTTTCTAAGTGAATATCTGGTGCTTTTTGTAGAATCTCGTCAATGATTTCGTTAATTTTTTGGTTTTCGTCGTGATTGTTGCACATTGACCATGCATCGTCATCGAGATTTTCAAGGAGTTTTCTATATTATGATTTGTCGTTTGGATATCTTTTGTGTGGACCTCTATTTTTGACAGGGCATTATTGTTGGATTTTCCTCCTTTACAGAATATTTCGTAATCATGTTCTTCTAGTCGAAGCCTCCATCTGACTGGCTTCGAATTTGGTTCTTTCAGAGAAAATAGATATTGGAGGGGTCGACGATCTGATAAGATTTTGAACTTTCTCCCAAATAGGTAAGGTCTGAAATATTTGGTGGCCCATACTATCGCAAGCATTTCCTACTCGATCGTAGACTATTTTATTTCTGTCTCATTTAATGTCCTAGAGGCGTAGGCGATTGGTTTGTCACTTCCAACATAGATTTAGATAGATTGGCTCCAATAGCAAAGTTGCTTGCATCTGTTAAAATGCTTTTTGAAATCAGCATACTGAAGCAATGGTTCGTTGGTCAGAAGGTTTTTGCAGGTGTTAAAACATTTGAGAAACTCTTGGGTATGTTCGATCTTGGAGTCATTGTTTAAACTCGCTGGAATTTTGCAGGGGCATTTTTGAGGCCAAAGAGCATTCTAACAAACTCGTAATGCCCATTTTCTACATTGAAAGCCGTCTTTGGGATATCCTCCTCTGCCATCTCCATTTGATGAAATCCACTTGCTAAGTCCAATGTAAAATATTTATCCAAGATATCTGAGAGTTTTGACTTTCAAACTCACTTTTTAAAAACTAATAATTTTATTTTTGAAAATACTTTTAATAATTTCTATATTATAAATACAAAGTAAAATAATATTAATTGGCAATCCATTTATACTAAAAATAAATGCTGACATCGGTGGACATTGGCCGGCCGTGGTTGCGTCGCTAAACCTTTGACCATGTGGAATGTGATGAGTCGGCAGGTCAGTGTTCTGTAACTCGTATAAAACAAGGACTCATCAAAATTTGTAATACACTTAATAAAAACAGGAGTAATCCACCTCACCAAATTGATTTTAAACGCATTATGCGTTAGTCATAATCTACAGATTAAACGGCTGGATGATGATGATTTTATTTTATAAAGTAATAAAAATCATAAAATGAAACATTTATGTTAATTATTTTCAAAATAGTTATTTTATCCTAATATCATCTATTTAAATTTTTAAAATATTGCGTTTAGCTCCTACTTCATCTTCCTGCCATATGGCCATCATAGGCACCCTTGTTGCACAAACTACTATTATTTTATTAATCGTCAGATTCAGGTTTAGACTAAGAATATTCTCTCCCTGTCTTTGCAAGTACTTCACAAGAATTTCAACTTTTCATCTTTTGAGAATCGCAAGACATATATTTCATGTATCTTTATAATAAATAATTTTTTAATTGATTGTCCAGCGCTCCTAGAATAACTTAATTTGTATGTAGCACGTCTAAATAGCACATATTTTATGTCTACTCCTAGAAAAAACATTATTATAGAATGTGCATCGGTACTAAAAGGATTGACCCATTCGTATGTTCATTAGATCAACAGAGGAATAAAATAAATATATATACGAGTATACACAACCAAACTTATATGGAATCATCTATTATTTTTCATAATTTTTGAGATGTATCCTCAAGCCCTTATGCAAGCTTCTATTCGCCTTGGCATGCTCCTTATTAAATTGTCAACATTGTTTTGGGGTATGTTTTCTCATTCTGCCAATGTTGCATCAATAAGCTGTGCGACATTTTCTCCATTGTTTAGACGAGCTCTAATCCTTCTTTTGAGCTGGTCCTACAAGTATTCGATAGGATTTAGGTCTTGTGAACATGCAGGCCTGTCTAAAACTGTGACACCTTCCGTCTCAAGATATTCTGTAGCTATTCTGCTGGTATAAGGAGGTGTATTATCGTGCATAATGGTAAAATTATCCCCAATTGCAGCTCTCCAGAGCCTAACGATTGATTCTGGTACTAAATCAACATATCTCGGACCTGTTAAAGTTTTTTGAAGTGGTAACAATGGAGTTTTTGCTTCCAGAATAATACCTCCCGAAAACATTACAGTTCCTCTTTGATATCTTGGGACATATCTGGCAACGTGGGGTCTCGCTCATCTTCTTGGAGCTCTGAGAACCCGAATTCGATGGTCATCTGATCTTAGGCCAATTCTGATATCATCCAAAAAAAGAAAATTTTTGCCAATTCTCAATTGTCCAGCTTTGGTGTTGGAGGCATCAATTTAGCCGGTCAATTTTATTTTGTCTAGGGTTTTAATTGAAACGTTCACACCTGTAGCTTCCAGAAGTTGTCGTTGTAGCTCTAGATGAGAAACACTGGGATTTCTTTAAGTAATTTAGTACACAAAACGGTCCTGTTGTTCAGTTGTGACCCTTTGACTACTTTGTATGGGCCTGTTCTTGAGAGTTTCTAGTCCCAAGTACCTTTCATATGTTTTCTATACAACACCCTGGGTATCGCTCACTAACTCTGCTACGTTTCATTGGGGCATTCCTTGTTCAATGAGAGCAATAATTATCACCCCTCTTCACATCTGTTAGTCCAATATAAGTCATTTTGTTGTTTTTTTGGACCGAAATAAAATTACCGGAGGATCGTAATTTTACTTCTGAACACAAAATTTACAAGATAATAAATCTCAGCAGTCGTTTCTTCTTTATTATCATGTTTGTTAAGAACAAAAAGCCTTATCTTAAAGTTGGATATAAAATGTTTTCCTTACAAAACGTTTATTCAGAAATACACAGTGATTCCATATAAGTTTGGTTATGTGTGTATTCGAATACCCGTATACTCTAATATTCAAATATTCGAATAGTGAATAATTTGGGTATTCGAATAAAGTTTCAAACGAATAAACGAATATTCGAATACAAAAATCTAAAAAATTTCAAGCCCTAGGTAGGTATATTAATATTGAACTTTTTTTGTAGCCGAATGGGAGTGGGTGGGACAGAATCTAGAAAAGAAATTCTCTTCAGATGGCAACGTCAGAGTGGCGATCAATGCATCTATCCATAATTGGTATCGCGAAGTTAAAAGCTTTAGTTCTTCTTGGATAAACACATTTGCTGAACAGTAAGTAAATGATATAAATGTGTGAAAATATTATTAGATGGCGGAATATACATTGCGATCCATAAATAACGATAAATTCAGTTTCTACGTAATTTAGAATGTATGTGTAAAGTTCTGAAACACGTCAATTTTTAATTCTAAAACGAAATTTTTAAGCATAATTTTATACCTCCCCTTCAACCTCCTTGGAGTGACAGCAACCCATTCAAATGGAACAAGGATGCGTGTGATAACTCATTTGAAAGGGTTTTTAAATGTCTATCCAACAATATAAGGTTGTTTCTGGATTTTACTCAAAAAATTATTGTAAATTACGTAGAACATGAATTTATTCGTTAATTATTTATGGCTCGCACTGTATGAGCGACCTAAGTTATTTTTAAATCTTGTAAAAAGTACAAATAATCTTTAAAATTCTGACTATAACGATTATTTTTTTTTAATACTTTAATATTTTAGTGGAGTAATGATTGGACACTATACTCAATTAGTATGGGCTGAATCGAAATATGTCGGATGCGGTCTAACTAATTATTTATCAGGTGATTTGAACTATTTCATATTCGCCTGCAACTACGGTCCAGGAGGCAATGTGGCAGGAGCATCTGTATACAAAATCGGTAGTCCTGCTACGGATTGTCCAGGAGGAGAATCGGCAAATCCTAATTATCAAGGACTGTGTGGATCAGATGACCTCTGAATTAAAATTAATTTTCGGAGACTAAAATAAAAAAGCACATATTAAAAAAAAACAGCACTACAAACATTGATTAAAATTTTATAAACGTATGTATGTATATTGTAAATTACATATTTTAAATAAATAAAATTTAATAAGCATTTTTTCTGCACAAACCACAGAATTAATTTGTGAGTCATATCAGTCTACTGAAGGGATATAATTTCATATCAATTCTAGATTTTATATGAAATCTACCAATCTTCCCAGAGACTATTCCATTTTTATTTGAAATGAGCGGTATTTTTGTCAAAATAATTATATTTTTAAGATATTGAGATTAAATATAATTAAAAATGAGTGATTTTGTGAATAATTTATAAATAATAATTCAACTTAATATAATGAACTACATCTTATGTATTCTTCCATTAATATCAAAAATACCTACTTGAACGTGCTGCCTATATTCAAATCTATAAATACCTTACAAAGAATATTAAGGAGTTTTCAATTAAAAATTTTTCTAACGTAGGCCTTGAAAAAATTCATCTCTGTCTTTGTCGGTCATGGCTTACCTTTTAGAAACATTTTTTATGGGCTACTCTTTATAATTCCACTTCAGCGAGCTGGTTTTCTACAGGGGTTTAGCATAATATTTTCCAAAAAGTTATTTGTTAAATATCAACTTTAATTCAAATAAAATGCGTCGTGCCTCAAAGTTCAGAATTGGGACCACTTTTATGTTTACTCTATGCACTATATTTTCATTTTTTCTGACAATACAAAATTATTTTTAGAAAGTAATATTAATAATTTTCTAAATGCAGTTAACTCAATAAATCAAGATCTAAGTCAATTCTTTAAATTATACCTAGAACATTAATGCTGGCAAGTCTAAACTATTAAAATTTGGAAATATTAAATACATGGATTTGGTCAAATTTAAGCAATTTTAAGTACATCAGGTGAAAGAATTTCACATAAACGGGAAGCAAAAAATTTTGAACTTTTGCTTTGATGAATCTATGAGGTTCGATAAACATGTAAACTATGCCTTACAGCAATGCTATGGTGCTCTTAGATGTCTTTATTCCAACTAATGCTTCACGGGAGTGAAGAGATATGTGGTGTGAGGTATGGAAAGGGATAAACTGAAGGGTTTGACGGCCGTACAAAACAATTTTATCAATGAATATGCGTGTAAGCCGTTGTAAGCCCATAATACATAACGTACAAAATGCAAGCCATGTTGCCACATCTAGTACAAATTACTTGATATCCAACTTATCATTAACTAGATTTTGGAATTAATTAAAAAAACTAATCGACTTACTTTAAGGAAGATTAATTATAATTTTCCGAGTTTGTCCGTACATATAATTACAGTGTAGTTTCCTTGAAACATACTTATCAGCATTTTTTTTCTAGAGTAAACAAAATGCATCGTATTCCCCGCTCCTATAGTATACCAAACCTTTGTATATCATTCCGTTGAAATGTGAGTTACGAAAATCACCTGATATCTGGGAACTAAATATGTATCCAGGATGGGAAATAATTATATCTACGGACAAGCTCGAAAATTATAATTAATCTTCCTTAAGGTAAGTCGATTAATTTTTAAATTTTCCTTCGCTTGTTCTTAATATAATTCCATTGTAGATGTTCAGGGTAAGAAAAGATGATTTTCTGAATAATTATTTATGTAAACATTATATACAGGGTGTTTCTAAATTCATGCGACAAAATTCAGGAGGTGATTGCTCGTATGAAATTAAGATGGGTCTTTCCTATAACAAAATTTCTTCAGCCCACCCCTTTCTGAGATATCACATATAAAAGGTGGTGACTAAAATTGAGTTTTTATTTTTTTTCTAAAATTTCAGTAAAGCTAGAAACTTGAAATTCTGTAATTTTCATGCACTCGCAAAGGACTAACCACAGGTATTTTTTCAATATTCCTGTTACATTATAGGGGGGTGAAATTAGCAACCCTTCCTTTATTTCATATCAAAACTTTTTTTCGAGATGAAGTTTTATGAAATAAAATTAATTTCACCCCTAAAAATACGAGAAATACAAATAACCGAGCAATCTCAGGATAAAGTATCCCTCGCCAGTTTATAAAAAATTAATAACTACAAATCAAAGAATTTACCCACCTAGTTTAATATTTAAATCAAAACCGGCTCGACCAACAGCCAGCTCTGCTCCAGTAGATTCTCGGCGCTCGCATGTACTCTTGTTGAAAACTTATAAAGTAATTGGTTTTAGAAATATTCGCATTCAAAGGTGGATACTCTTCATTTTAATTTATTTTAAAATTCTGAAGTTACCAACACAAGTACATGATCTATTTAAAAAACATCAAAAACTATATAAAATATAGTCCAAACAAGTCTTTTGACAGAGGCATAAAATTTAGACGTACCCATGCCGTACGCCATGACAAAGTTTATTTAACTGATTTTTTGTAAAGCAAAATTATACTAAGTAATAAAAAAATTATAGCCATTAATTATTTTTCTATTTTGGTATCGAGATGACATAGGAAAGTACTGAAACAATCGCTGTTCGCTCAATAACAATTTGTTGAATAAAATTCACTCTCTACTTGTCTGGTTCTGTTAATTAAATGAATCCGAAATCTTGTAAGATTTTTTCTTTGGCGCTTTTCTTCCTCTTCAAATAGAAGAGCCAATAAAATATTTTTCTAAATAAACTACAACTTTAAGGAGAGCGCAAGCTGCGCAAGTATGATTGTGTGCGATTGCCAAATGCGACTGATTTTGTTTATACCGCGATCAGCTCAGCACTGAACAAACCGCGATGCGACGGGATCGCGACCGTCCAATGCGTTCCCTCCTTGAACATTTTAATTCTGCCCAGCTCTTCCCCAATTTCCATGGAATACACTTACTTAGTTAGTGGGTAAATCGATCAAATGAAATTGTAGAAATTAGAAATTAAAAATGACATTGAGAATGTAAATTATCTCGTATCTTTTATTTTAAAACGTTTTTTAATATACCGGCTTATCAAGAAAAATATGCTTATATTTAGCTATTTGCTGAACGTAAATATTGTTAGATATGTATCTATAGGCATAAATATACCATTATACTTAAAAAAGGTTCAATTTGTCTAATTGTAGTTATTTACCTACTTCTTTTCCTAAAGATTTTTTTCTGCAAACGTAAATAATTGGATTGTTAAAAAAAATATTGAACGCTATGGAGAAATTCGGTATTATAGTTTTCTTCGTTATATTTTCTGTTGCAAATGCACAGAATCAGTATTGCCGATTTTGTAAAGACCATCTTGCCTGTGTTAGAAGAAATGGGGTAAGCAAAATAATTTTTTTGTGTAATTGTAGACTGAGTTTCATTTGAATATTTTATTTATAAAATAAACGATTTGAAAACGTTTATCTAAAACTCAATTTTATTACATTTTTATTTTGTTACTCACGAACAGCTTTTAAACTTTTATAAAAAAAAGGTAAAGAAAAGTTTGCTAATGTTAAATGTTTCAATTTTCTAGAGTATCCAATTAGGATTGCCAGATGTCCCGATATTGGAGATTTTGTCCAGTGTCCCGATGGATTATACGTCGGGACGCTAATTGTCCCGATTTCACATGGGTAAAATAATTATTCAGAAATTGGGAATATTGGGAAATTCTTTTAAAAGTAGGAAAAAAATTAAAAATATGTATATCACTTATTTTTGACATACCTACCTATTAAATCATTTATTCATGATATTATTAAGATTTTATTAGGCTTTGACATTGAGAATACACTGTGGAACAGCCAAATGGAATAAATTCGGTAATAAATAAATGGGGGCGTGTTCGGAAAAATGCTCGGATACTTCGATTGGTATTTTTAGTCGAGAACAAAAACTTTGTATACAGGGTGTGTCTTGTAACAGTGGTCAATACCTACTTTCTTATTTTAAATGCAACAATCTGTATATTTTTCAATTTTTGGATTCTTCAGAAAAACTGTTTCGGATATATTAAATTGTTTCCGATTTATTGCAAAAATTAACATTAATAAAATTATTTGATTACAGAAATTCGTTACAACCACTCAAAAACTAATTAGTAATACTGTTTATTTCTTGATAATGTAACAAAAAAAAAAACACATTTTAATGTAGGAGATGTTCAAAATGTCTTGTAATGTTACTATACGAAACAAACAGTTAGGTATAGGACATAGTTCATAAAATATGTCCAGAATTTTCTGAAGAATCCAAAAATTGAAAAATATACAGGCTGTTGCATTTAAAATAAGAAAGTTGGCATTGACCACTGTTACATGACATACCCTGTATAAAAAAGTTTGTTAAAAAAAATACGCGACTAAAAATACCAATCGACGTGTCCGAGCATTTTTCCGAACACGCCCCCATTTATTTAATACCGCATTTATTCCATTTGGTTGCTTCACACCGTATAGACTCATGCAATAATGCATTTTATTTTGGGTTGTTTTTTGTCATTAAATTTTATGATAAGTTTTATTGTTTTGTTTGGAGAATTATTAATTTTATTTCCTTTAATATATTATTCCTTTAAAAAAATAGCCTCCCGATTTGTAATCAAAGTTCCGATTTTTTGACAGCTTTTCGATTAGTACAGGATCCGAAGTAAGGTCGACCTTCACCCATCCGTTTAATGGATGAAAAGTAAATATAATATATTATTAAGTAATATATCGCGAATAGGTTGACTGATAAATTTCAGTACAGGATATGATTAATTAAAAATTTTAAAATGATTTTTTTTAAACGTTGCACTTGTTTGTTTAATAGACAAATTACATATCAACCAAAAGTATAAAGCTTATAGAATATGCAAACGTTAGGTTGACTATTTTTTCCAGTCATAACTATTGGGTAGGCACAGTGGCGTGCGGTCACATTTTTGGAAGGGGAAGCGATTGTATAAAAATACAGCAGGTCAGTAAGCACAGCGCCGCAGGCGAAAATTTTCGCGGCGCACTCACCATTTTGTCAAAATCTTGCTTTTTTCCTCAGTACTAAGGATATTCGAGATTGAGATTTTTGAAGTGTTACTATTACTTTATTTCCTAGTTTAATACTAGAAGCTATACAAAAACTTACCATTGAAAAGCTTCCTTGGTTTATTTAAACGTAAAAAAAACATTTAACTGAAGTTTTTTTTTTATTTTCTCCAGCATTTTTCGCACAGTTGACATTTATTTATACTTAAGATCTATTCGCCTATCCTCAATGGCTGCAAATTTGTCTATAACATCGTCGTAAA